TGTTGTAAATGCAGTTGTGATTCTGGAACAAGTATTCTAGATTGATTGGAGGAGGACGGGGGATTTCAGAATTGTAATTCATTTTTCAATTCTCTGTGTATTTTGAGCTTCCGCTGTGCATCTCTCTCTCCAGTTTTGTGTGAATTTGCCTCCTCTGAGTCTACTCTGCAATTGCATGTGTGTATGGGAACGTGTGAGCTCATTGTGAACTGAAGTTCAATTGGGTACATAACAGAGGTATTGGTTGAGAGCGAAGGACCGGAGGGATATCTCACCGTCGTCCTCGGCCTCTCCCATTCCGAGGGATGGAAGCTTTGGTATGCTGGTGGAAGGGCTGGCAACAAGTTGAAGCGATCATGGGAGCAGTGATCCCCCCAGGTCTGTAAGGCAAGGATGCCCATTCTTCACGACCCTCTATGTCATCTACATAGAATCAATGCACGATATTTTGAGTGCAGATAACCGGCTGCCTGCCTTCAAGGCCGGGCCAACAACAGAACTGCAGTCTACAGCATTCCCGGATGATTCGGGAGCAGTGATCCCCCCAACAGCCCAGCAACTCGGGATCCTCAAGGACCTCGATATGTTCTGCAGATACTCGGGTGCACGGGTCAACTGGAGCAAATCAAAGGCAATTCTCCCTCCACAGGTTGACCCACCGGAAGGATGGGACATTCCTACCGTCAACGATGGAGAAAGGATGGTCTTCCTGGGCGCCAATCTTTCGTTCTTTCTTCTCCTTCTTTACATCAAAACTGACAAACAGGTCCTTATGGCCCCAGCTCCATTTCCATTCCGGGGAGCGTCAGTCCGGTTCCTGTTCCACCGGCAAGTCGGTAATAAAATATTACATCATGAAACACACTCACGCTTCCTTCTGTCTGGCCGAAGCAACCCTGACCAGCATTGATTCCTCCAACATCGTGGAGGATTGACCGTCAGCTTGCCTTACATCCCCCTTTCCTCTCAGGTCCACTGCATGAATCTGCCAGATCGATCATAAAGAGCAAGAAAGGTATAGAAGCAACCAAAGATGCGGTCTGGGAATTGCCATTCAGGATAATGTGGCCTGTGATGGAGCATGTCCATCTGCTGGCTGAGATCTCTGCCTTCTCCACTCCACTTCTGAGTTGTGCCAGTCTTTCCGCCGTGCGTGACAGTCATTTATCTCTGCTACTTCACCCCCTGCCAGCCACACCTTGGTAAATTTTGCCTTAATTCTCCTCTGTTGCTCTTTGTCATCTGGCATGGAGTGTCTCATCTTATGCCACTTGCACAGAATCTCTGCCTGAATCCAGGTCCTCGTCTCCGTCCATACCTTCCCTTGGAGTTGAAAGTCCCTCAATGGTTCTGCAGCACCTTTCCTTCCAGATGGACCACAGTGGGTTTAGGACCATTCTTTCCACATCCTTGTTCAGAATAGATGAACATCCTTGTGTTGAGGTGGTAATTGGGAACAAGGTGAATACAGCCAGAGTCTCCGATCCTTGTTGTTTGTGGGAAAATTGATAAGCCCTTGAAGGAGTTAATTCCTGCACCAACACCCCCACTCACCAGATTTCGAAGCAAAGGCTTCGCCCAGCAGTTCCTTCCAGCCTTCTGGGATGTATTTGATGATGGATTGTAAATTCTCATCTCGTCGGTGACATCCCTTGAGCTGGGAGGCGAGTTCCTGTTCTGTTACCCAGTCCTTTTTCTCCTCGTCCCACAGATGGCTCACTGGGCGCCAATCTAACGCCGCGCTTCGGAGGAATAGAACAGATGGTGATTCGAGATACAGTTGCACAGCAGCAGCAGCCCAGCTCAAAGCATGGAGCGCAAAAAGCAGCATGGGCGTCTTCGTTAAGGCTCTCCTCATCAAAAACTTGGTGATATGGTATGCAGGAGTTGTACACATGCCCGGCAAGCGAACTCTTAGATATATAAAAAGGGCAGTCCATGCGCACCTGTGGTCAAACAACGAGGAAGCGCAAGACTTTATCTGCAGAGTAACCTGGATTAAGCTCATCCCACCGCAACGATTTGGTGGATTGGGATTATTGGACACGAGATTGCAGATTATCACCCTGCAACTGCGCCAGCTGATTTGGCACCAGCTAAGCACATTAGGAAGCGCCTGGCAAGAAGTTACCCGGACCCACCTGGCATACGCACTCTAGGTGCCTAGGGAGGTGGCGGACCTGTGAAAAAATCAGCAGCGGAGTAATAGGCCATATCCGCCGGCACACAGTGTGGTCAACAAAACTCGCGCTGTGGAAAAAGATACAGCTGAGATGCCGCATGCTGGAAACAGCCGACGCAGTCTCCAATCAGCTGCTGTTTGACAATAGATTCATCTGAGACGAAGCCGGCGAACCATTCTTGTGGCAGGGCCCCCGAGGGGCATACATATGGAAGTGGGCTGAGCAAGGAATTTACAAAGTGGGCCATTTGTGGGATGAACAGTGAAAGGATTGGCGCCCCAATAATGATATGGTAGAATCCCTGCAGGGACGAATGAGACGAAGGCAAAGAGTGGCAGAGCTGACATCCCCCGCTAGTGCGTGGAGCTGCTAAAAAAGGACGAGCTAACCCCGGGGTAACGGGTGAAGATGAAGGGAGCGCCACAATCAGAGAGAGTGTACGAGATCGAATGGGTTCTAGCCAAAGGGAAATTGGAAGTCACTGGATGGCTGGTGAGCTCGGGATATGAAGGATTGGGGGCAACCCTGCAGGAGGCTGGTACACAAGAAGGGGGCCCTCTTAAGGAGGTGGATAGGAACATGTTCAAAACAATGGCAGTGTGTAGGAGGACAGACGGGGAAGGGACAATAGTTGCCATATCGGCTGGCAACAAGGCGACAGGACCTGGTATGGGACCCGAGAGAGTGGGAATGGCCGGCCCAAAGGATGCTGAGGAAAGTGGTGCCGCTCCAAGACCTGTCTACAAAGAATATCTACAATTCCTTGCTGGAGTTGGTGGATATCCGTGGAGAGTTGCCAACTGCTGGGCTAAGAGGAATTGGCTCCCATACATATATTTTAACAGATGGATAGCAGAGGTGGAATGAGCAATTCACCATCTTGGCCGCCTTGCTAGACCAGAAACAGGCTGGTTTAGTATGGCAAATCTATCACCTGGCGATCCCTACAGTGCAATGGTTTGCAGCCAAGAGTCAGCACAAGGATCAGATATGCGCAGCAGGGTGTGGCCAAGTGGAGACTGTCCCTCATCATTTTGTGTGGTGCCTGATCGCTCAAGGCCTTTTGGGAATGGTGGGCACAAGAAGTAGCAGACAAGTCCCCAGATGTCACGGAGGTGGACGGCACAGCGATTCTCCTAGGAGCCCTGATGAAAGTGGATAGGACAACACCAGAAGACATGCTGGCAGCAGAAATCATACGGCGGCAGGATTGTAGGCCCTGTGGACCCTGCAGAATGAACACTGCAGGTAGGGAACATCTCCACTGCTGCAAGCATACCAAGAACGGGCGCTGCAGAATATCAGAGTTGCCCTCCTGGCTGATCTTAAGAGACGCAGGCACACAGAGGAGCAGAAGGAACGAGCCTTCTGGGCAAGATGGGGCCCGTATCTGCAATTGCTCAGCCAAGACTCGCAGACGGGCCACATGCAGTTTGGTCCCCTTCTGATGTGCCATGTGCCTAGACCTGAGACAGAGGAAGAATCGGATTAGAGACCTCAGCTGATATTTGTACTCTAGGTAGGAGGCATGGGTGGGATTGGTAGGTTGAGACTAATAGATGTACTATAGTAGGGAGGATGAAGGGCTGGAGGTAGGGAGATAGGAGGGAGGAGTAGGGGGACCTTTGACGGGGGGTTACTTCGTGTTTGAAAGCAATAGGACTTCCAAACAATGCTGAGGGGCTAGGAAGAAGTGAAAGAAGGGGCACGAAAACGCTGGGGCCAGGAACACCTTCAATACGGGACAGAATTATGGGGAATCGTATCAAGTGGGCCGAAGGGCCTTAGATACTATATATGGGGGTAGAGTTAGACCTCTGGAAATACAGAAGGAAGGGCTATGGATAGCATACACAGACAGTATACAGAGACAAGACTTGGAAAAATGTTGAAGGTAAAAAAAAAAAAAAAAAAAAAAAAAAAAAGGGTAGAACGGTAAAGCAACCGGTAGTAGGTGGACGAATAGAGAAATGAAGGGTGTAAAAAGTTTCTAACAAACGGGGGAAACAAATAGGCCAGGAAATCACAGTAGGATGTCGATTGAAGGATATGTGGCCTGAGGAACTGCCAGGAACCCACCCCCCCCCCTCCTCCTCCGCCCTGCCCTTCTGGCGATTATTCTGCAGCATGCCTGGGTGCTGCTAGTAAGCCTCCCGGCTTGCAAGATAATCCCCGAAGAAGGCTCAAGGGTTGGAGGCGGGCGGGTCTGAGGCAGCCCCCCCTTGCATAGGCGGCTCAAACCTCAAGGGCTAGGCTGACTCTCTTTTCTGTCTATTCTCCCTCGCTGCTTGTAAAAACACATGGTTGCTGATGGTGATAAGCAACCGGACTGATGCCCCCAGAATAGAAGGGGCTGTGTTGTTTTTGTGAAAAATAAAAAAAGAAAAGAAAAGGAGCAGCAGAAGAAGGCAGGGATTCAGAGAATGTTGTAAGGAGCATAGCAGAAACCTTTCTTTTCCTAAGAAAAATAGAAACAACCAAAATTTGGTGGTGAAAAGGAGCAGCAGAAGAAGTCAGGGATTCAAAGAATGTCGCAAGGACTACTAAGGAGCATACCAGAAACCTTTAGTGTTTGCATGGGTTCACCTTAGGCTCAGGGTCTGGAAATAGATGAGGCTGAGGAAGGGTTCTGGAGAGACTGTTCTAGAGTTTTGAGTAGTAGCAGGCTTCCAGCTCTCGTTCCGCTAAGAGGAACAGCTCTGCTCAGGTTTTTGGTGTGTTTGTTGGACATGATGTAATGAGCACTGGGTACAGATGCGAGCAGCACCCAGAGCTCGCGCAAAAAATCGCGCGCGAAAGAACCGAAGTAATACTCACCATAAGCGTATTCAAACATGCACTTGGAGCTGGTGTCCAGACAAAGGGCATCAACTGTTCGCTCTTGAACCCAGCATTGCAGTTTCTGGATATCCGTCACCGCATTTTCACAAACATTTAGGATAACAATATCAGGGGGCGTTGGAGCATGCTTGCATAAAAGGCCTTCTGGATCATCAACACCTCCATCTGATGCGCAATGTGGCCGAGTTTTACAGGCAAGCTCTGTCGTGGTTGATGAAGTGATATCACAAAGAACTCCCCCATATGGATTGGAAGCACTTTTTGGAACTTGGACGACCACTACATTTTCTGAAGCAGAGCTGGAGTCACTGACAAAACCCCTCCCAGTTATTGTGAGCAACGTTCCTCCACCCATGCTTCCCTTCCCTGTTGGCCTGAAAGATGTTATTTCTGCCACATCAAAAAAGGACAGTGCAGGCAGCAGTCTGAGCTCACCGAGTGCATCACTAAACTGGTTGCATGCCCAGGTGACTGACTAGGTGGATCGGTAATGAAAGCTTAAATTCCCATTTGCACTTCAGACACTGAATGCATCGCTAAAGCTTGTTGCATGCCCAGGTGAGTGACTGGGTGGATTGGTAATGAAAGCTTCGATTCCCATTTGGACTTCAGTACACTCAGCTTTTCCTTTCACCTCATGCTGTGAATAGGAGTTCTCTATTATGGCTACATCATCAGCATTCGTAAGAAGGTACAGAAAATTTTCAGCATAGTAAGCAATAGGTCTTTGGTTTGAATACAACGAAACGGATACCAGGGAAATTTCCAAAAAAATGTGATGTCTTTCAAAAGTGGCTTCCTGCCACATGGTCAGCCCTTGTCACAGTTTTCTTTTCCTTTTTTTAAATAAGACAAGTGGACCCCGCCACGGCTACGCCGTGGCGCACAGCAACACTCGCTGATGGCGTCTCGTTTTTGTTTCATGTCTCTCTTTCTCTCTTTCTCTCTCTCTCTCTCTCTCTCTCTCTCTCTCTCTCTCTC